TTTATTTGATACTAGAGGCAATAGGAAGTCACTAGAATTTGAGTAGGGGATTAACATGGTCAGATATATGTTGCAGAAATATCATTTTGCTAGCCATTTGGAGGATAGAATGGAGAGGGGATAGACCTGAAGCATTGAAACCAATTAGGATGCTGTTACCATACTTATGTTAGAGGTGATAAGGACTGAATTAGGTCACATGAATAGAGAAAAGGGGAGTGAAATCAAAAAGACTGGAGAAGTGATTGGATCTGGAAACTGAGGATGACTCTAGGAAAAGGAGAGAGAGACAGAGACAGAGACAGACAAAGAGATTAAAAAGATGAAAAGAGGATTATATTTGTGGGAAAAAAAGAAAATGAATTATATTTTGCATGTGTTGTTTGATATACCCATTTGGATGGGAATAGGCAGTTGACAGTAAGGGGCTGGATTTTAGCACAGATTGATGAAAAAATGCCCATTAATGTTACTATTATTTGTGGAGTAAAAATGACTGACATACCACAACACAAACGAGTAATCAATCCTTTTCTCCTCTTAAGTCTTTTTAAATAACTGTTTTATTAATGAATTTTAAGTCGCTATCATTTTCTAATGATATTGCCCTCTATTGCAACTCCCTTGTAACTAAGAGCTTTTTCTACACCAGGTTCTTTTTTATAACACATCATCAATGTGTACCAACCCCTGGATGGTTATTTTCCCAAAAATTCTATGACTGAAGTTTACAGTATCTGAATGTAAACAGCAAAAAGACATAGTTTTCCCCAAGAGAAAAGAAATGTGTTTTCATAAACTCTTTCAAGCCTTTGCCACAGTCCCTAAATCCCAAATTTTTACTTGTCCTAACATGAACTCTCAGCAATCTTACATTCCTCATAACTGAATATTACCTGTATTCTAGATCTTATCTACTATTTCTTCCTCTTGGACTTTGTTTCATCAAATTTCTTCTCTTTCTCTTGTCTCTTCCATTTCTTTTTTTTTTTTTACTTCTGCCTATAAATATGTACAGGTCTCTTCTCAGTTGTTACCCTTAGTATGCCAAAACCATTTTGAAAACTTGAATGCAGCAGCAGCGAGGTGGCGCAGTAAATAGAGCACTGGTCCTGAATTCAGAAGGACCTGAGTTCAAATCTGGCCTCAGACACATAACACTTACTAGCTGTCTACCTCCTCAACACTGACTGTATGACCTAGGACATACCATTTATCCTCTCAGTACTCTAGGCAATTATCTAAGACTATTAAGTTACAGGGAATGTATAGCCCTGCATTGGTAAAGGGAGTTTCCTCACATGGATGCCCCTCATACTAATGCAATCACAAGTCCAGTCTCAAGCCCTATAATATATTTCTCACATTCTTCTACATTTGTGTAGATTTGTCTTGGTATAGGCTTTGATCATTTGCTTGCCCACTGCCCTTACTTTGCCTATACATGCTGGGAGAATCATCTTCCCCATATGGTATTTTGATTCTGTCAGTCCTTTTTTTTTTCTTTTTTTTTTATCCTTCCCTTCAAAAGTCCCCAATGGCTCTTTACACACTAGTGACAGAGCAACACATTCCAACGTTGGAAAATGCCATATCCACTTCTGTTCCTTTTACCCGCCCTCACCTCCATAGGACTCTACCCAATTGGCTCATGTCTGTTACTCAGTTAAGATTAGCTCTTCTTGCACCATCTGTCTTTCCTAGAAGGCCAGTGGAGACAAAAATACAAGTCATAATTGGGGGGGAGGGGATGGGGGAGAAATAATCATGAGAATAAAGATAGGAAGTTGTCGTTAACTAGAAGGAAATTAGTTTGGCAAAGAATAGAGTAAGCTCCCTTTCTGGTTTAACACCATGAAAATCCTGTGGAATAACTTAAGTGGAATTGTTCTTGGTGTTTGAAAAATAATAATCTTTAGTTGAGTAAATTAATCATGATTACAGAAAATAGAGGAACATTAAATATTCCAATTACAGTTCACTAGATTAATGGCAACTGCAAGCTATATAGACCAAAATCATTCTTGAGAAATTGCTTAATTCAGCACACTAATTTCAATTCCTTATAGTATTGAAACTATAAATAAAACTTTGCAATTACTGAAATAACATCTATACACAAATGTCTTATGCTTGGGGAACCAATGTAGAACAAATCAAAGAACAAGAGGCAGTGAATAAGGAATGCCCTGGTCCAGTAAAATCTTGATTAATTGATAAGGAAAAGGAATTGATTGTTCTGGTTGATGAGACTTGAACTTTTTTTAAAAAAAATACTTTTTAAAAAAAATGATAATGTGGGTTGTCATGCACACCCAAAAAATCCAAAACTTTTTTTCAAAACTTGTTGATAGTTTTTTCTTGAATGATTGGTCAATTGTTAGTGTCTTAGTGAATAGAACACAATTAATTTTAATCCTGATTAATCATAAACTTAAAACAAAATAGATGCAATGCTTACCCCATTTTCAAACAACACAAAGTGGGAAGGAATAACATCTTTCCATCTTTTAATCTTCAGAGCCCAAAATGATGCCTTGAAAATAGAAGGAATATGCTTGCTAAATTATGTTGAAGACAATGGGATGAGATTTAATAGGGATAAGTTTAAAGATTTGTATTGAGGACCAAAAATAACAGAAATACAGGATGAGAAAGAAAACTAGAAAGGTTTTCATTTATTTCTATCAACTCATGCTGCTTATCAAGGGTTAGGGAATTGCTAATGGAAGGGACACTGTCACTTTAAGGCTTTTTTCATATTGAGCTATTAATGGTGAAAACAGAAGAAAAGTTGCATAAAGGAAAAGAATTATATTAATTGTTAAAGAATAGTAGATATTCTTGCTCTTACTTATTAATATTTTGATATTTAGAGTAGGGAAACAACTGTTTCAGTATACACTTCTAAAATACACATCTAAATAAATATAACTTTCAGAAGGAATTTTGGACAGTTTTAGGAAGGGAATGGTCTGTGATACAGATTTGAGAAATCAGAGACCTATCAACAATGTGGAGTGGTGCCTTGTTTGTGTGGGAAGAGTTTGATGTTATAAAGAAACAGAGAAAGTTATTTTATTTATTAAAAAAATTAGAGGAGAGATGATAAGTGTGAAAAAGCACCTCTCAAGGACATCAAAGAGATAGTAGGATGTTGAGAACTTCAGAGAGCTGCAAGCACGATGATATGTTAGTTGATTTGCATATATATGTTTAATGATTAAAAAGGGGAAAACTACAAAAAAAATTAAATCATATAAGCACTTGGAAACTGAACAATGATTACAAAAAGGACTAGATATGTTGGGGAGAAGTTGGGGAGTTGTGACTTTTTAAGTAAAAGCTGAGTCACTGAGAGTCAGGATGCTCAAGCCATTGACCATCACAATGGAAGCGGCAGAGGAAGAGAAGCCTGAAAAGGGAAGGAAGAGCAGGGGAGCTGAAAACTTGCTTATTGTAGCTTTGACAGTGAGAAGCAGTTAGTTTAAAGAAGTCTCCAGGGAGTGATTTCTGATAGTTCAGAGAGAACTGATGTCATTGACCATGAACTCCAGTGATAGAAATTGCCCCTCTCTCCCACCTAGAGTTGGAGAAAAGTGAGGCTTTTCATAAGGATTTCCTCTCTGTGTCCACCAGACTGTGTTTCTGCGAGCTCTATTCTTTTTAGAAAAAAATTTTTATTTTTTCCAGTTATGTGTAAAAACGATTTTTAACGTCTGTTTTGTTTTGTTTTGTTTTGTTGTTAATTTGGAATTCCAAATTCTCTCATTCCCTCCCTCTGGGAGCTCCATTTTGATTGGATCTACGTAACATAATTGAAAGACCTCATAGAGGCTACATTTGACTCGTCAAGAGAAAATGATTTCCCTAGTTGAAGAGTAGCAAGGGTCAATATTCAAGCAGTTTATTGGGGCACAGAAATTCCTAAATAGACTAATAACTTTGAAGCCAGTCGCTAGAATTTGAACATCACTATGCACATTAGTTTTCCTCTTTTGTGTGTTTCCATGTCAGGTCCTAAAAGTGTGTGCACACTCTTCATCTTAGCTATTGAGTTCATTGCTGGAAGATCATGATCTGGGTTTCCATGTATATTGTGAAACATTTAATTTTTTTTAATTTATATGTTTTACTGTATTAAATCTATAATATTATTATTGCTTTTTCCTTATTAAGTGCATAATTATGCTTAAGATCTCAAAGTATCATTATTGTGATAGGCTGGTTGTGGAAATTTCACAAATGGTGTGGATACATTGTCTTATGAATAACCTGTGTTGTATAGATAGAAAACATATTGTAAGAGAGACTCAAGACCTGGAATGCTGAATAAGGAAAGTAGATTTCCCTTCAACAGAGTTAGACCCTAAGAAAGTTTAAATGTAACCTGTGTGGTGGTGATCTATTTGGGGGAATTTAGGTCTGCAACTTGGAGGAGGAACATTTGAACCTATATCACTTAATGTATAGGCTCCACCTGTAGCACACACATTTCTGCTGTTACATTGAGGAGTCAGAGCACACACACACACACACACACACACACACACACACACACACACAAAATACATTTCTCTTGTTAAATTAACACCACCTCCAGAAATTCAGAAATACAGTTCCTGCTGCCAAAAGTAGAGAAAAGGATAAAGAGGCCTAAACCGCAGTAAGTAATCCTACTATTATATGGCACTTTGTATACCTTCCTATTGTTACTTTATGACTTCATGATTGAACTTTGATTTAGTTTAATCTTTAGTTCTTGTTTTGAAGTCTTTTTTTTGTAGTCTGAAGCTACTGATGCTGAAAAGCACATTAAGATTTTTGGAATACCCTGTATTCTTTCTTAGTCAGACCATATCTGGAGTGTTGTGTCCAGCACTCTTCACCCCAAATTAGAAAGAACATTAACCATCTAGAATTCATTAAAGGGAGGTGATAAGGAGAGTAAGAAAATTTTAAATCACATTACCTGAAAATTTTTTGGAGAACTGGTGATTTTTCACTTCAAGGAGTCTTAGGCTCGGCATAATAATCATCTTCAACTATTTGAAGAGTTTTCATGTGCAAGAAAAGTTTAGACATCCTTTTTGGCTTCGATGTAAAACCAGAACCAATGAATCGAAGTTATAGGAACACAGAATTCAGTTTATTATAATTAAAAGAATATTAACAATTACATTTAACCAAAAATTAAACATTATACCTCATAAAGCAGTTAGTTCCTCACAACTAGAGGTGTTCAAAGACAAGCTGATTGACGAGTTGTTAGGAGTGTTGCGGACAGATTTCAGAATTAATGCTTCAGGAAGACATGACACTATATGATTGGAGGTCCTTCCAACTCTGTAATTTATGATTTTTTGATTAATCAAGTCGATAATATTTTTGGTTACATTATCATGTTAGTAATGACTATGGTAATGAAGTAGCAAGGAGTCAGAGGTAGGCTATTGTCAGTTGATTTTTCTTAGAACTTTTCCTCTCTTGCTAGAAATGGAATGTAGAAAATTCTAGAATGAAATCCAATTTTTGGGGATAGGGAAGGAAAGGTTACAAAATTAAGTGCCTTTGTTGTAATCATAAATATATTGACATAATTTAAATATTTATTGTCTCTTTACTTTCCAGGCCAAGGAACATATCTCAGTCGTCTTTGCAGACTTCAAAATACCTAGCACATAACATAAACTGAATAAATATTTGTTGAATAAATGAGCAAGGGCCTTACACATTTCAGTGAATCATCTTATCTGCGAAATATCCATGAGAATTCAAAGACACAGATTAAACCCACATCTTCAAATCCTGAGCAACCATTGTCCATGACTTCCCATAAAATCTCCATATAAAGTCCACCCAATAGCAGGGCTTCTTAACTTTTTCTTCTGTCATGGACTCCTTTGGCTATCTGGTGAAACCTAAGGATCACTTCTCAGAATAATTATTTTAAATCCATAAAAGAAAACACATTGAGTTATAAAGGAAATCAATGGTATTAAAATACAGTTATCCAAATATAGGACCCCCACCCCCACCCCACATTAAGAATACCCATTCCACATCTTTTGACAATGAACATGCATAGTAGAAAGAACAGTGGACTTAAAGATTACTTTGATTTTTTTTACCTTTTTTTTTTCCTTCCATTCTTATTATCATTGACTTAAAAAACTTTTACTGGATATCATGTTAGACATTTGGGATGTATGGGCTAGTTTAGCTGAACTGCTTTGTTTTGTTTTGCTTTTTTTCCCACTTTTTATTCTTTGAATGATTCTGGTAAGGAGAAGAGGATGGACATTTGGGGAAATATGGATGATGTATAAAAACATCAATAAAAAAGTACATTACTAGACAGGATAAAACAAGAATTTGACTTACCAGGCACAGATGTTAAGCAGCACAACAAACTTGTCATTTGTGGACAAGGCAATCGACTTAGAGTCTGGAAGGCCGGGGTTCAAATCCCATCTCTGACAATATCTAGCTATGGGAACAGGGATCTCTTTAAACTTGTTTCTTCATTTATATAAAGGGAATAATAATATCTGTGATGCTTATCTCACAGAGTTTTGTGAGGCTTAAAATGTATAATGCATGCAAAACATGTGGAACACTCCAGAGTGTTTTATAAAATGACTATTTTTATCATTATTATTCTACAGCCCCATCCAGACCAGCTAACTCCTAGCTTGCTAAATAAGGTGACTTGTGGGCCCTTTAATAGAAAGATAGAGTAATAAAAGTATTTGAAAGGAAGTATAGTGCTTAGTGGTACAAGGAACCTCCATTCTATGGCGATTCACTTATTCACATGTAACATTCTTTCTTATCCAGGCTATTCATTATTTTCATTAAATGACCACATTATAATTGCTTTTGAGTTGGAGTTGCAGTGACCTTTTATGCCTATGGGGCATAAAATTATTTTGCATTGATTTCTTTTCCTTGCATGCATTTCCTTTGTATAAGTGTTTTAAAGTGGTCTGTTCAAATTGTATATTATAAATTTACAAAGAAAAATAAAAGCAATCATGATATTTTCCCACTATTGTATAATGTAGGAAATAGAATCCATAGATTCTACTGTAAATATGTTCCTTTTAAATATGTCTGAATTGTTTTCATTATTATTTTACACACATAATAATTCAGTAACACTTGGATGTTTATAAAGTGCTCTCCATATAACAATTCTAAGGTAAAAGAAGTGTTATTATTCCCATTTTAAAGAAAGAGAGTCAGAAATTCATGTAATTTTTGTATTGAAAAATTCCTCAAAGGACATTAAGTTCAACTAATACCCTAAAAAGAACCCTCGCTACCACCTCCTCAAGGAGTGATCATCCAACCTTTGCTTGAAGGCCTTTAGTATAAATTAACCTGCTACCTGTTGCTGTCAAGTTGTTTCAGTTGCGTCTGACTCTCTGTGACCCCATTTGAGGTTTTCTTGGCAAAGATACTAGAGTGGTTTTCCATTTCCTTCTCCAGCTCACTTTACAGATGAGGAAACTGAGGCAAACAGGGTGAAGTGATGTGACCCTGTCACACAGCAAGTGTTTGAGGCCAGATTTGAACTTAGGTCCTCCTGACACCAAAGATGGCACTCTACCCACTGCACCAGCTGCTCATAACCTGCTATTTCCTGAGGCGTTATGCCATCGAGGTACATGGCTACCTGCCAATCAATTAGCACTTACTATGTACCAGGCACTGTGTAAAGCAACAGATATACAAAAAACAAAGATGAAACAATCCTTGCCTTGAAGTAGATTATAATCTATCAGGGGACATAATATGTATATATCAAAGTAGACTTCACATAGGTTCCCAAAGTGGGCAATACTGGCCCCTGGGGGGCACTGGCATGACAGAGGGGGCAGGTGGTAGTAGTTTCAGGTGCAATTGTGGGGCATTGAATAAAAATAAGGGGGCCATGGAAACATAAGGAATGAAGAGAAGATTAGAAAAATTTAAAAAACCATCTGTATGTGTTTCATTTGTTGTGTAACAGAGTTAAAGGCATAGTGATTACATAGTTTTCCAAATAAACACACAAAATGCTAGTTATAACTGAGCAGGCTGCTGACAGGTCTTTACAAGCAAGTGTTGGCAGGTAAGTGTGTTGTGCATTGTCAGGAAGTCTAGCATGCATCAGCAAGAATATGCGCGTGTAATGGCTTGTTTAAAATGTGATGCTATGGGACAGCTAGGTGGCACAGTGGATAGAGCACTGGCCTTGGAGTCAGGAGGATCTGAGTTCAAATCCAGCCTCAGACACTTATTAGTTGTGTGACCTTGGGCAACTCACTTAACCCCATTGCCTAGCCAAAAATAAAATAAAACAAAATAAAATACGATACTACACAGTTAGATGACGCAATATTGTGTCATCAAAGTTTTAATGCAGGAAAAACCCACAAATTTATAATGAATTATTAAATTTAATATGTGCCATTTAAAAAAAAAGTTTATTTTTTTGAAAAGACACAATTTAAAAAAAAAACATTAAAGGGATAAAGAAAGTAGATTTCCAGGGGGGTGCTGAGTAATTTTTTATTTTTAAAAGAGGCAGTATAAGTTGGTAAACCTCTGAAGTAGAGTAAGGAAAGGTAGGAGAAATGTTCCTTGGCTTGTACATTGAGAGTTATTTCCTCAATGCACAAGCTTTCCCTACCAAGGCATTCTAACTAGGTATGAGATCCCTTCCCCTTCCTTCCATCCCTCAGGCAGCTAGGTGGTACAGTGGGTAGACCGCTAGTTGTGAAGTCAGGAAAAACTGGTTGTGAATCCAGCCACAGACATTCATTAGCTGTGTGACCGTAGGCAAGTCATTTAACCTCTGTTTGCCTCAATTCCCTCATCCATAAAATGGGGCTGATAATATTGGCCACCGCCAGGGGATATTTTTATAAGAGGGGGATAATATGGCACTACATAAATGTTTATTGTTGTTGTTGTTATCCCTAGCAGCAGTAGTAGCACCAAGCATACAACAGTAGGACTGTGAGCTCGAATCATTGACCGTTTCCTTCTGCTTTCTTCACCGAATAGAGATATTGACCAATGTATTGGTAAAGAACTCTTGAGTTCCAAATCCAAGTCTTAGCCAGCCAGAGGGAGGAAAGATTCTTAGAGGGCAAGAGAATCACAGCCACATCACCTTGGAGTTGATCCACTAGGGATAGCACAAGGCCCTTGATTCAAGCTCACCAAAACAAGCTCACAGTCCTACAGCCATATTATCCCTCTTTTCTTAAAAATATGCCCTGGAAGTGGCCACTATTATTATTCCCCTTTTGATATATACACATTTTTGTCCCCTAATAGATTGTAGTCTATTTGAGGGCAAGGATTGTTTTCATTTTTGTCTTCTGTATGTATCTCGCACTGTATCCTGAGATAAGGTCAAAATGGCTTCATGATTTAGACATAAAAGGTGATTTCACAAGCAAATCAGGGAAGCATGGAAATTTTTACCTGTTTGATCTATGGATAATGGAAGAATTTATGATCAAACAGGATAAAAAACAATATGGGATACAAAATGGATAATTTTGAATACATCAGCCAGCACCTGGGGGGAGGAAATTGCAGCAAGTTTCTCTGATAAAGGCCTCATTTCTCAAATATATAGAGAACTAAGTCAACTTTACAAGAATACAAGTAATTCCCCAATTGATAAATGGTCAAAGGATATGAATAGACAGTTTTCAGAAGAAGAAATCAAAGTTATCTATAGTCAAATGAAAAAAGCACTCTAAATCAGTATTGATTAGTGAAATCAAATTAAAACAACTCTGAAGTACCACCTTATACCTATCAGATTAGATAATATGAAAGAAATGGAAAATGACAAACATTGGAAGGGATGTGGAAAAATTGGAATGCTAATGCACTAATGTGGAGTGGTCAAAAAACAATTTGGAAATATAACCAAAGAGCTATAAAATTGTGCATATCCTTTGACCCAGCAATACTGCTACTAGGTCTGTATTCTAAAGAGATTAAAGAAAAAAGAAAAGGATCTATATGTACAAAAATATTTATAGCATCTCTTTTTGTGATGGTAAAGAATTAGAAATTGAGAGAATACCTATCAATTGGGGTATGGCTGAACATGTAGTGGTATAAGATTGAGATGGAATACTATTGTGCTAGTAAGAAATGACAAGCAGGATGCTTTCAGAAAAAGCTGGAAAAGCTTACATGAATTGATTCAAAGTGAAATGAGCAGAACCAGGAGAATATCATACACAGTAATAGCAATATTGTGTGATGATCAACTGTAAATGACTTAGCTATTCTCAGCAATACAATGATCTAAGACAATTCCAAAAGACTTATGAAAAATGTTATCCTTATCCAGTGAAAGAACTGATGGAGTTTGAATGCAGATTGAAGCATACTTTTTTACTTTATTTTTCTTGGGGTTTTCTTGTCTGTATTTTCTTTTGCAATATGGCTAATATGGAAATGTTTTGCATGATTGCACATGTATAATCTATATTAAAATGCCTGCCTTCTCAAGAAGGAGGAGAGAAAGGAGAGAAGAAGAGAATTTGAAACTCAAAATTTTACAAAAAGAATGTTTAAAAAAACTTTGCATGTAATTGAGAGAAAAAAAAAAGATCATGCTCAAGTTAATGGCAGAGACAGGACTGAGACTTGTTGCTTCTGATTCCTATTTTAGTGATCTTTCCCTAGGTCACAGTTAGGCCCTATATTGTGACCCTATGGAAGGGAAGGATCATACTGTTGACTTGTTTAGTAAAGCAGTTAGCGCGTAGGAATTGCTTCATCCATATTAAATGTTATCAAACATAGGGGATGAGCTGCTTAGTTTATGTTTGTGTGTTGAGTGGCTTTCTTAGTGATGCAAGTACATTTTCAGGTTATTTACATTTTCTTTTAGTGACAGTTCTTTAAAATGCTGTCATCTCTTTTCTCCCATGCCCCCACCACCCTTTTTCTATTATACATACTCAACTGAATTTTTGGGCACTTTTCCCAGTTTGTGTTTGTATGTGTGTATGCTCATGACTCTGTGTGTGTGTTTGTTTATGATTATGTACAAGATCTTAGATTCTGTGTTTTTTTTTAATGCTTTATAAATGATTGTTGTTAATGTTCTCAGTGAAGCTATTTGCGACTAGAACCCAGTTTTCAATAATGACTCTACCAGAGAACAGGTAGAAGAGAGGTGTCTAATTATTCAGCTTTGTATTTCTAACCTTCACTAGCAAACAATGATGTGTGAGTTTAGAAACTGGAGACAAGGTGAATGCAGAGTACCCACTCTTCTGAGACAAATGTTAGGGAATCAGCTCAACTCAGAAATAACTATAAAATGTTCAGAGGAATTCTCCTTCTGGAGAAGGAATAACAAGCACATGCACAACACTTATTAAAAAGATACCTCATGCTCAATATCAGCTGTCTTTCTTCCGTGCTAGACACTGACATGAAC